TATTTTGTTTATAAAGTTTTGTTTAAATTGAGACTTTGATCATTTTGTCATTTTTATTATTGAACAGAGAGGGAAAAAAAGGTATATCTGACAAAAGAATCAACTCAAAAATCGGCCACACATATCAGGGATCAGTTAGACTGATGTCGAAATAATCGTCATCAGCCTTAAAAACCCGTATTGGTCGATCTGTAACTCAGATGTTGTGAATTAACCTATCAGAGCTCTCAAAGTCATGACATCATCACCTTTTGGTTGAAAGGTGCTGCAGTCTTTGATGATGCAAACTTCTGCCTTTGATTTCCGTCCCAAAAGGTCAATCAATTAAACTGAAGGATTTTTCAAAGTCTGGTAACCAGAAGTTATAGATTTAAACTATTTACGTCATTAAATCTCGATTTGTTTAACTTGGTAGCTCTAGTTCTTAGTTGGACTGAGACGGTAAAGGCGATTGAAGACGCAGTGAGACCAGAATGCTGATCCGAGTCGCTGAGAAAGCCCAGAGAGGCTCTGTGGTTTATCTGTTGGTGCAGCTGTTGTCTCCGTGGGCCGGACCCACTTCCTGTCCTAATGCACGCCGCGATAACAAAGATGTCAGTGTGCAGAGTCAGAGGGAGGAGGACGAGTGAAGCGTCAGTGACTCTAGAAAACACAGGCTGCATGAACCGAGTGCTGAGGCCCGATTCAGCTCAGAAAGACGATCAGAACCACAGAAAGGCTGCAGCTTCACATCTGATGCTGCATGATGCCAAACTGCTTCTATTCTGCACACAGCAAACCACAGCCTGAGGGACAGATCAACCAATTCAGGGTTTTAAACGATTCCACTGATTATTTTGATTTAACTCCTGCAGATATTTTCTGCAGAAAACATTAACGATGAACAGCAGTCATTCTAACCCCTGGTTCTGCTCTGATCCAAACTCTCCCTCTCTGGCTGGTTCTCCTGCTGAAGGGTGAACCTCCACCTCCAGACTCTGGTCCTCTGCAGCTTTCTTCCGGAATTGTTCTGGATTTCACTCCATCCATCTTCCCATCAACTCCAACCAGCTCCCCTGTCCCACAGCATGATGCTGCCACTGTGTTTCTCAGTGGGAATTGTGCTGTTCTGGGATCTGCAGTCTAACCTGACTCTGCCAGATGGATTTGCTCCGCATATCCATCTGGAAACCTTCCGTTGAAG